GGAGAAGGGGAAAGAAGGCGGCAGCACGTATGTCTCAAAGGCAGCCTGATGGGGTCACCATCTTTTCCCATGAAATACAACTTCTGTTCAGCAGCATCCATCAGCAGCCGATGTTTCCATCTCTGGAAAAGATGGGTTTGAATTCTGCGCAGAAGAACTGCTCTTGGTTTGGTTTTGGGGTATAAGGCCAGTCTTCACCCATCCGGTGCCACAAAAGAGAGACAGCGAGGGCGCAGCGTCCTGCCTGAGAGCCCCAACCCAAAGCCGTATCTAACCTGGGCTCTCAGGTTTTATTGCACGGGGAACCAAAACGGTCAGTGGCTCCCAGTGGTACAGACCGCTCAGCCAAAGAGCCGAGAAGACAAACAACTTCCAGCTCCTGGCTGCAAACCAGGGCACTGCATTCCCTCCCTTCCCAGAAACAACACTCGAGGTGGCCTTATGCGTGCTCCAGTGTTCTCTTCTTCTTCAATTTCCTGTAATTTTGTTCAGCCACAATATTATAGGGTTCATAACATTTTCTGTTCAGGCACAGTGAAGATTGTAAACATGTGTCCCTCCCACTGTTAGTGCTGAAGGTTCAGCATTTCTGGGATGCATTAATGAAGCCGGCTAACAAAAATGGGGTACAAAGGTCTCATTTCATGGGTTGCCTGATCAGATTTTTCTAGCGTGAGGTTGGGTGTGAATCGTGGCACAGAGCCGTGTCCACCTGGCTGAATTTCTTTCCGTGAAACAACAGCCATGGTGGGAGGGCTATCATGGTGGAAGATATCCATCTGGCCAGATTTTTTTTAAGGTCATTTAAACTCTTTTCCCCTTCTCCACCCAAATTATCTTGCTAAACTTCAGGATTGTGCAACAGGCAGGAATAGTTACAAATTGCCCTTAAAATTTGAGTTTAATATTCATGGTTTCATTGTAAACAAAACCAAACAAAACCCCCATAGCTGCCATTGCGAAATAGGTTGGAGCCTCTACACCGCCAGTTAGCCAAGCTGGTGGTACACTTCAAGGGCTGCTGTCAGTTCTTGCTGTTGGCCTGAAGCTGCAAACAAAAGAACTGAGTCCACATAAATTTTCTGATTGGCTGGAAAAATTTGGATACAGCCTCTGTTGAGGTGTATAAATAGAAAGCAAAGTATTTTAGACCATTCACTTGGGAAGCAGAGCTCTCAAGGCACATGAAAATGCAGAGAGTCACAGCAGTCATCCTCGCGATTGTGATCTCCAGTGGTGAGTGAGCTGAATTTTAGTAACCATTGCTCGTTGTAACCTGCCTTCTTTTACTTTCTTTTCTTTTTTTTTTTTTTTTTTTTAATGAAGTATATCTGTAAGGATTTAGGAACTGATTTGTTCTCTGCCATTTTTTTCTCTTGAAAATAACCCCTCTCCCATTGCATAGAAACCTCCATGGAAAAATCCTTTTCAGATATGGTAGAGTTGTGGAAAAATTTTGTTGGAGTAATAATGTTGATTGAATGAGAAAGAATCAGCTGAGGCACATCAATTACCAACAGCATGCATGTTTTCTTGAAAGCCTTTTACCTAAAGATCAGCCCACTGAGCAAAGACTGTTCCCAGAGATGTTTCTGTGTTTAAAGCCGTCACCTTTGATTTCACAAAGAATACACAATTCATTAAAATAAATGAAGACTACCTAGAACAAAGGACTGTTTTGCTTGAGGAAGGCGTTAGAGATTTCCTGCATCCTTTTAGCACCAAACCTTCAGTGCCAGCACATCATTTCCCCTGTTTGCGTATATTCCTGGAGCCCAGCGAGGACGGTCCCTCCCGAGCAGTTCACATGCACGAACAAACTAACTCGTTGCTGCTTGCTAGACCAGTCCCATTCTTGCTAAAGCATCCCATGGGAAACCCTAGTAGCTTTGGTGGGGGGAGCAGGGCTTGGAGAAGGTACCAAGACAGGGGGTTGCCTTTCCCTTCTTCTCCCCTGTAAATGTCTCCCCTCCCTCAGACATCACCGGGGCCGTAGGATCAGCATGGGTTTGACTGTGGGTGGTGGCAGCTGGAGTCTGGAATAAAAAATACGAGGATGTTATACCCTGTTGGGGTACCTTGAAAGTACTGGGGTGCTTTGAAAGAGTAATATAGAAACACAGGGAGACAGAAAATGCAATCAGTAAAAGGTAGATGACAGCTTGTGTTTTTGACTGGATCCCACATTAGGGAATAGGAATGGACTTGGTGGGTCTCTCTCAGCCGTCTTTTTTACAGTTACAGTGCAGTATCCCAAGATCCTGGGTGGCTCAGGTCACCTTCCAGGCAGACATCCCATAGCTCCAGCCCCACGCTACCACATGAATGCAGCACAGCACGTCTGCCCTGGGGCAATGGGAGAGGAGTGGGTCATCCCATGATGTCCCCTCCGGATCTATTTGTTCTGCATTTTTGCTTTGAAGTCGCTGCTTTAAGTACCCTCAAACGTCACTGGACAAAGCCTAAAACAAATAAAATGCTGTTTCATTGCATCCCTAAAATTAACTTGCATTAAAAGATGAGCAATTTTCTAGCTCCCTGAAGCCTGATCCACGGTTACAGCAAAGTCCAAAGGGACCTTGCTATTGATTAAACAACATGGGCTGGGAAATCCCCTTTTCTAACTTGTGTGTTTCATCTCCCGTCCTCCTCTTTTCTTCTTTTCTAGCTACTGCAGCACAATGGGCGAAAATCTGCTCAAGTCAACCTGCAAACAAAATCAGAAGCTGCGACAGCCAGGGCTGCGGTGGATACAACAGCTCCAGGTCCTGAGCTGGCATGACGGGAGATGGTTGTGCTTGAAACTTTCTTAAAATAGAAATAAGCACGGAAAAATGGGCAAGGGGAGGGTTTCTAGCTGGCAAAGCACTCCGTTCTGTGCTAACCCACCTTGCTCTTCTTCTTCTTCAGAGGAGGGAGGAAGCACAAGGGAGTGGACGTGGTGTGTGAGGACGGCTCGGTGGTGTACGCACCCTTCACGGGGAACATCGACAGGCAAGTCAGGCCCTACGGAAATGGCAATGCCATCGACAACGGAGTCCAGCTTTCAGGATCAGGTACCAGAGCTGAACGACGTGTGTCTTGCAAAGCCTGATTGCAAAACGCTCCGATTGGTTTATAGCGCTTTAAACTCAGCCAAAAATTGTGAACTCAACCCAAACTGCAGTGTGCTTGCATGTGAATCCAAGTGAAAACTGTAACTTTGAAATCCCGGTTCTGTTAATGCAGGAAAATTGATTGAAATCATGACAGCATTTCACCTCTATTAAAAAAGTCAAAGGATGAAGCTGGTCCCTTTGCACATTTTGGATAATTAAAGGAACAGCCTCTGGCTTGCTCATGCAGTTTTGCCCACTTTATTGCCCTTCCCCACCCTCCTCCATGTTCATTTATTTCTTTTCCTATTCTCTCTTCTTGATGCTATAGGAGCATCACAGCATTTTCTGTAACTTTTGCTGCTGCTGAATCTCTTACCATTTTATTGTCGTTTGTGTTTTGCTACTGAACGTTATCACTTTGCCAGGCTTTTAAACCATTTCATAGGAGCAACAGTTTCCCCCCGTTCTCTCTCCCCTGTTAACAGGATTCTGCATTAAGATGTTTTACATCAAACCTGTCAAGACCAGCGGCCCCATCAAGAAGGGAGAGAAAATCGGTGTCCTGCTGCCCATGCAAACGGTCTACCGAGGAATTACGTCCCATGTCCACATCCAGAACTGTGACTTGACAGATCCTACTCCCAACCTGTAAACGGGCAGCTGCGCATCAGGGGCAAAGCCTCCAGCCCTCTTCCTGTGTATTCATTAAATTGCTTGGGCATAGATAGTCACTCTAGTAAAGTGGAGGTCACTGAGCCTCAAACAGTTGTTCCACCTAAAAAGTATCTGTGAACAAAATGCTGGTGGTTATCTGAACATAAACAGACTCAGAGTAAGGTATAACACGCGCTTTAGAGCTGTTGTCGTATCCTGCGCATCACTGCACTCGGAGATGAAGGCTGAAGCAGTGGGGAACGGACGAGCGGCTGGGAGGTGGTGGATCCTCGAGCAGCACCGCAGTGAGCCGTGCTGCAGCTCACTCATCTTGGACTCCTCGGCTCTCTTTGCAGCCAAACATGAAGATTTCTTCAATAAGCCAGAAATTTCACTTTTGCTTGCATTTGGAAAATCACATTATTAAAGGGCTGCTTCACTATGAATTGCTTTGAATTTCTTTGGTGCTGTCACAGAGTTTGGGCTGGGTTCTGCTTTTTTAATGCAGCTGGGGGCGGGGGGGACTGTATAAAGCTGAAACCCAAATCTTTCCTGGGGCCCATGACCAAAAAACATAAAACAACATTAATGAAGTAACTCATTCCTTTTCCCCAGACTCCTGATTCAGGATTGCCTTGGCACACCCAGGTTTCTTTTTGTCCAAGTGAGGCATTTGTTCCATTAGTAAATCAGCTGAAGACTTTCCTGGGACAACAAGCTCTTGTTTAACAGGACGGGGCTTTTCAGGCCAAGGCTACCAAGATGCTACTGGGAGTTTCACGAGCTGAAGTGCCCCAGAAGTGCCGCAGGCTCACGGATTTACTAATGCAACTGCAGCCTCGGATAAGCAAAGAAGCTGCTTCAGCGGGAGCTGCGTACGTCCCAACAGCAGATTTGGTTTTTCTAAGAAACTACAGAAAGATGTTTGCTACATCTGTGAAAAGTGCTTAACCTGCTGTGGCCCATTCAGCTCCCCTGGGAACCGCTTTAACTTTGCTATAAATGAAACAGCAGCACGTCCGTGTAAATATACAGCCCAGACCTGCAGGGGCAGATAGCAACTGGACATTGATGGCGAGTCAATATAACTGAAGTCTCCGTGAAAAAAAAAACCACAAACCTTTTACTTATACTGAAAGCAGAAACATTTCAGCAAAAGTCCCCAAAGTTTTCCAATTTTGACCAATTTTTTTTGTTTGTTTATTTTTGTCATGAAGCTGGCTGCCTGCAGAAAAGAAACACTTCCACCTGAGTCTCACTTGGTTAAAATCCCAGGTGTTAACCCAGTTATCAGCTTCTCACATTTGAAAAGGGGAGGTCCCAATCAAGCCCCCACTTCTCCATGCAAAGCCTAACGAAAGACTGAGCTGGCCTTGCAGACTGAGCAAGGCACCGAGCCTCCAGCCTTACAGATTCTACTGCAAAACTAATATTTTTACTTGATTTTAGTCCTTTTATGAGGAAGAAAACATGACGTGACACTTTTTTTCCCCAGAAATGACAGGTAAGCTCTTCTCCAGGTCACACTTGTCTCCTCGCCCCCCGCAGCTGTCACGTGCATCAGGAACCTGTTAACAGGGACAGACGATCCCGTCACCTTTTAAAGCACAGCGCGGGGGTATCAGCGGGCCCTGGAAGGAACAGG